TTTTATTTATTTATTTATTTATTTATTTATTTATTTTAATTTGACCAAAGAGAGACATACACAGAAAGAGAGAAAGTGAGAAAGCAAGTCATCAGGTCGGGGACTCAAATCATGGTCGGCCATGTGGGAGTATCCAGAGCTTTAACCACCACACCACCTGCCAGCCCCATGTTATATTATTTTAATTTGGTATAGGGCATGTGTGCTCACCAGGGAGAGACAGAGAGAGAGGGAGAAGGACAGTGAGAAAGCAAACTGCCAGGTCTGGGACTTGAACCGTGGCGGGCTATGTGGGAGTCCAGCACTTTTAACCATCACGCCACCTCCCGGCCCCTAGTTCTTCAAATCTAAGCTCCCTTTGTTCGCCCCACTCCTGCCACCCCATCCCGGAAGCCCGTGTTTTGGGAGGTACGACCATCATGTGTCTGGCCCTTTTCTGTCTAGGGCTCTACTGCCTACGTCCCACAGCAGTCCTGGATACAGAATGGCACCATAAAGGACAACATCCTTTTTGGGTCAGAGTTGAATGAAAAGAAGTACCAGCAAGTTCTGGAAGCCTGTGCTCTCCTGCCAGACCTGGAAATTCTGCCTGGAAGAGACCTGGCTGAGATTGGAGAGAAGGTATTTGGGACCACAGGGGAAGGTGAAGGGTGCAGGGATAGTGGGGGGAAAGTGGGGATGATAGTGAAGAGATTCGCAGGAGTAGTTTAGGAGCCAGTGTTGGTAATCTTGCTTGCAACTAACCAGAAAACGTGTTTGCACCAACCACAACGTGTGTGAAAATAACTCAGAAATGTAAAAGTTTGAAGTAAATATAGGAATTATATAATTTGAATCAAAGCTGATGAAATAAAAGACCTAAGAAACTGAATAGGGCCAGCAGATGGCTTAGCAATTATATTACTGCACTCCCACATGGCCAACCACGGTTTGCGTCCCAAACCTGGTGGCTCTAAAATCACTCCTCATGTGTGTACATGCGTGCCCAAGATCCCAGGAGAATGGAGGAGAAGGGATTGTGGCGTGGCCATCTCTCCTGGGAGGTGATTTCTCCCTTTCCCTCTCACTATCTTTGTCTCTCTGGCAAGTGCACACACCCTAAAATAAACCTCTTTTTAAAAAAGCTAATGTTGGGAACCAGCAGTTAGTGTAATGACTATGTCACTGGACTCCCACGTAGTTGACCACGGTTCGTGTCCCGGACCCGGTGGCTTAAAACTCACGCTGGGCATGTGTGCGTGCATGCCCAAGATCCCGAGAGGAGAATGGAGGAGAAGGGATTGCGGCGTGACCATCCCCCCTGGGGGGTCATTTCTCGCTTTCTGTCTCTATGTCTCTCTCTGGCTGGCTGGCGAGAGCATGCGCCCTATAGCGAAAACCTCTCCAAAAAAAAAAGCTAATGCTAGCAACGAGCTCAAGATTGGCCTCGCAAGCAGAGGGTTAAGGAGCAAGGCCTTGGTGTTCTGTTTCTTGTGTGTCATTGAGGCCAGAGGAGGGTTCTGATAATCTGCTTTGAGCGCTTAGAAATGTATTGCAGATTATTTTCTCATGTTATTCAATACCTTTCTTTAAAATAGTATATTGTATCCATAATGTAAATACGGCATAATTTATGTAGAAATTCTTGATTATTGCTTATTTTAGTATACTTCACTCACCCTTCTCATTACTAAAAATGAATAGAACAATTTTTGGGGAGGATCTCAAAATGTTAGAAGACATGTGAGGATACAGCTCTGGAGTGATTTTGTTTAATTCAGCATACAGTTACTGAGCACCTACTATGTGCTAGACACATATTGTAAGGGTTAGGGTTATATCAGTGACCGGAACAGAGAAAAACTTCTGCTTGGTACAGTTTTATATTCTTATGGGATAGATAACAAGACAAAACAAAACATTAAATAAGTAAATTAGGTGGTAGAAAGTGGTAAGTTCGGGACATTTTATTAGGCCTAAAATGATCTGTTTGAGTTAAATTTATTTGTTTAAAGGAACTCGTAAGGTTTTTAGACCTTCCCTTTTTTTTTTTTTTTTTTGAGAGGTTTTTGCTGTAGGGCGCATGTGCTTGCCAGACAGACAGAGAGAGACAGAGACAGAAAGCGAGAAATCACCCCCCAGGGGGGATGGTCACGCCGCCATCCCTTCTCCTCCTTTCTCCTCTCAGGATCTTGGGCATGCATGCACACGCGCCTGGCGTGAGTTTTTTTTGTTTGTTTGTTTGTTTGTTTTTTTGGAGAGATTTTCACTGTAGGGCGCGTGCGCTCGCCAGACAGACAGAGAGAGACATAAAGACAGAAAGCGAGAAATCACCCCCCCAGGGGGGATGGTCACGCCGCAATCCCTTCTCCTCTATTCTCCTCTCGGGATCTTGGGCACGCACGCACACGCGCCCGGCGTGAGTTTTAAGCCACCGGGTCCAGGACACGAACCACAGTCGACTACGTGGGAGTCCAGCGACATAGCCATTACACTAACTGCTGGTTCCCTAGACCTTCCCATTTACATAGGGAGACAAATCTCTTCCTTTTTCCCTCTCGTTAAATTTTGTGAAGGGAATAATGCTTAATAGAACTTGTTTTCTTTTCCAGGGTATAAATCTCAGTGGGGGTCAGAAGCAGCGGATCAGCCTGGCCAGAGCCGCCTACCAAAATTCAGACATCTATATTCTAGATGACCCGCTGTCAGCCGTGGACGCTCACGTGGGAAAACACATTTTCAATAAGGTCTTAGGCCCCAATGGCTTATTGAAAGGCAAGGTAAGGAATCATTTCAAGTGACGGAGATCTGAATGTGGGGTGAGCATGGGATACACACACCTCCCAGGACAGCTGTCATCCTGGAGCAGGTGTCCTTATTTATCTGTCCCCTGGGCTCCCAAAGGAGAGCCTGTCAGACTGGTCTCCTAGATACCCCTGAAGGTGCCCAATGTGAGGCACGGCTTACGCTGGAACTAGCTAAGTTCGACCTCACTCTGTAGTTCTGACATTGAACCCCTTAGAATGATAGTTTTGAGAAAAAGTACCTCTGGACTTGTGGAAATAAGAGAGAGATTTGGTCTTTGTCTCCAGTTCCTGACACAGCAGTCCTAAAACCTGGGTGGATAAGAGTATTGTTACTCTTCCGGATTTCCTTTGGTTCACACTGAGTTTATGCTGAAGAGGCTGCTGCTGGTGGGGCCCCTAGGTAGCATCAGTAGGCGGCTAATCACCGGGAATACCAAGAGATAGAGGGTTGGAACTTTCTGCCCTACTCGCTAACTCCAGGTCAGGGGGCCCTGGAGACTGGGTTATAAAGCTTGGAGAAATCCCAGGTTAGTGAACACATCGAGGTGCCAGGGAGTGGTGTGGATGAGGAGAGCATGAAAGCTTTGTACTTCCCCACCCTCAGACCTTGCCCCGTGCATCGCTTCCATCGGGCTCTTCCCGAGTTGTATGTTTCCTTCATAATGAACTAGCAAATGTAAGTAAGTGTTCTCCTACGATCAGTGAGCTGTTCTAGCAAATTATGGAACCTGAAGAGAGGGTTACAAAAACCCCAATTCATAGCCCGTCAGTCAGTCAGAGTATGGGTGGCCTGAGACTTGCTACTGGTGTCTAAGAGGACATAGTCTTGGGGGACTAAACTTGTAAGCTGAGGGGCCTGCACTAACTCCAGATAGTGTCGGGATTTAACTGAATTGTTGGACACCCATTTGGTGTTAGACAATTGGTTGGTGTCAGCAAACACCCTAGAGGACCCAAAAATTTACCTTGCCAGTGGGACATAGGTCATCCTAGAGTGTTAGAGCTATGTTCTAAGAAGGCACTTACCCGGGACCAGCAGTTAGGGTAATGGCTATGTCGCTGGACTCCCACGTAGTTGACGACGGTTCGCGTCCCGGACCCGGTGGCTTAAAACTCACGCCAGGCGCGTGTGCGTGCGTGCCCAAGATCCCGAGAGGAGAATGGAGGAGAAGGGATTGCGTCGTGGCCATCCCCTCTGGGGGGTGATTTCTCACTTTCTGTCTCTCTGTCTCTCTATCTGTCTGGCGAGTGCACGCGCCCTATAGCAAAAAAAAAAAAAAGAAACTCTCAAAAAAAAGAAGGCACTTACCCGGGACCAGCAGTTAGGGTAATGGCTATGTCGCTGGACTCCCACGTAGTTGACGACGGTTCGCGTCCCGGACCCGGTGGCTTAAAACTCACGCCAGGCGCGTGTGCGTGCGTGCCCAAGATCCCGAGAGGAGAATGGAGGAGAAGGGATTGCGTCGTGGCCATCCCCTCTGGGGGGTGATTTCTCACTTTCTGTCTCTCTGTCTCTCTATCTGTCTGGCGAGTGCACGCGCCCTATAGCAAAAAAAAAAAAAAGAAACTCTCAAAAAAAAGAAGGCACTTACCCGGGACCAGCAGTTAGGGTAATGGCTATGTCGCTGGACTCCCACGTAGTTGACGACGGTTCGCGTCCCGGACCCGGTGGCTTAAAACTCACGCCAGGCGCGTGTGCGTGCGTGCCCAAGATCCCGAGAGGAGAATGGAGGAGAAGGGATTGCGTCGTGGCCATCCCCTCTGGGGGGTGATTTCTCACTTTCTGTCTCTCTGTCTCTCTATCTGTCTGGCGAGTGCACGCGCCCTATAGCAAAAAAAAAAAAAAGAAACTCTCAAAAAAAAGAAGGCACTTACCCGGGACCAGCAGTTAGGGTAATGGCTATGTCGCTGGACTCCCACGTAGTTGACGACGGTTCGCGTCCCGGACCCGGTGGCTTAAAACTCACGCCAGGCGCGTGTGCGTGCGTGCCCAAGATCCCGAGAGGAGAATGGAGGAGAAGGGATTGCGTCGTGGCCATCCCCTCTGGGGGGTGATTTCTCACTTTCTGTCTCTCTGTCTCTCTATCTGTCTGGCGAGTGCACGCGCCCTATAGCAAAAAAAAAAAAAAGAAACTCTCAAAAAAAAGAAGGCACTTACCCGGGACCAGCAGTTAGGGTAATGGCTATGTCGCTGGACTCCCACGTAGTTGACGACGGTTCGCGTCCCGGACCCGGTGGCTTAAAACTCACGCCAGGCGCGTGTGCGTGCGTGCCCAAGATCCCGAGAGGAGAATGGAGGAGAAGGGATTGCGTCGTGGCCATCCCCTCTGGGGGGTGATTTCTCACTTTCTGTCTCTCTGTCTCTCTATCTGTCTGGCGAGTGCACGCGCCCTATAGCAAAAAAAAAAAAAAGAAACTCTCAAAAAAAAGAAGGCACTTACCCTGCAGCCTTTCCAAGATGCGAGAAAACTATGCCTAGAAAGGATGATTCAATGATTCAACCTGAACATAGAAAGAATACCTCGCACCGATTGAGTCTTCACTGTGTCCCAGGCCCACACTAAGCATTATAATTCACGGTCCCCTGTGAGACTTAACAATGCTGCTGTCAGATAGTACAGGTGAAGTGGCCAGAGCAAGTCACTAGAGCTGGTCACATGTGGACACTAGGCTTCCTTTACCAGTTGGCGTGTTTGTCCTGACATGAAGGAATGGAAGGAGGTGCTCACAGAGCCCCCGCCCATGACAGCACTTCCCTTTGCCCCAGGCAGTGAGACGCCACCTGCACTCGGCCTGCTCCTTTCATGGCTCTTTGAATGCTGCTGATCAGCAGTGCCAGGGCTGATCAAATCCGGGCTGGCGTCCCACTGGAGCCTCTCGCTTGGATGGGTAGGTTACAGGAACTCAGTCTCCCTCCTCTGTCCCCATCCTGGCTTCTGTCCTCAAGGCTGGCTTGGTTTTCTTCATACATGACCTGAGTGGTCATCCTGTGCCAGGCTGGTTGTAGTGACTGGGCACGTAGAGAGGGAAAGATCTGGTCCCCGCTCTCCGGCCACTTACAGTCACGCCAGAAGACACACAGAAAAGCAAACGATGCTATTACAATACCAGAATCGACTCAATGGCAGTCTGTGCCAAATAGGTGAAAACATTGCAGGAATACCCAAGTCTTGCCTAAGGATTCAGGAAAGGCACCAGAAAAAGTGGCTTCGAGCTGGGACTTGGAATAAGCCTCTCCCAGATGTTCCAGATAAGAGAGACCTATCTTTGTGGGGCTGTGAAGGAGAACGCAAAGGCAGTAGGCTTAGTTTTCCCTCTAGAAGCCTATCTCAGCTCCGTAGGCTCTAACCAAGTCTCATTACTGACCCATCAGTATTTGTTGAGTGGACTTTCTGTCTTAGATAGTCAATAGACAGGAATGTAAGGGGTGCCAAGTCTCCAACATCAGAGTAGGCCTGGATTACAGATAAAGTTGATCTGCCTTACAGTGTCTCTAACATGCTGAGAGAATCTGGGTCGTGCTTGTTAGTTCAGTTGGTTAGTCGGTAAGTAAAAGGGGCAGCTAGCTAGCTAGCTATGTAGTTAATTTTATATGCATTGTTTATATTGATAGACCTTGATCTCCAGTGACATTTCTTTTTTTTTTTTTTTTTTTTGGGGGTTTTTTTTTAAAGGGA